CCGGGTAGAGTCCCTTAAGTCAAGCCTCTTCCTCGCCCTGGGCAACCGGGTAGCTACATGCCCACACAGCATATGCACCAATGTTTTAACGGCTTTCTGCCCTGTCTGCTCTTTTCCAGTGCTATCCTCGGGCAATGTACAGACGGCCGAACATGCTATATCGCGCTCTGCTGCACCATTTCGATTACTTTATCCCACGTTTGTCCAATTCTCCCGTCCTTGATAATCCCCCTCTGTATCTGAGTCCACAACACCGTTCCGCCCTGGGCATGTTCTCGCCATACGGATCAGGAATTTAGGTCCCAGGGTGTGCCGCCAAGTAGTACTGATAAACCTTTTTAACGGTCCGTTCCCAATTTAAGCTGACAACTTTTAACGTCCGGACGCTGATGCAGATCGAATCACAAGCGGCCCTCAGTTGCACGCTTGCGACTACTGCCATTGATGTCTGTTGTATCGCTGAAACCCAACTACAGGATCCTAGCACGACGCTACCACTAGTTTCGCCTTCTTCGAGTTCTACTAACGCTTTCACATTGCGCTTAACTTGCGACGCAATCGCAGAAGCCGCTGGTCTTACCGGCGTGGTGATTGTGTTGAGCATACGTGCTGAGGCCGCGCTACCTGACTGGATCCCTATCAACGGTCGACTGCGCTGTCCGACTTGTGACCTCATTGTGACTTTCCAGATGTGGAGCCAGCAGACGTTGCTTGGTCGTTGTCGCAGCATACGCTCCCACAGACTACAGCCCGGAGTCAGTTAAAGACGAATTCTACTGTCGATTGTCCGACCTTCTATGAAAAAGGCGCCATACAGACATCGTGGTGCTTGCAGGGGACTTAACGAGTGTGATTTCGGTTGTCAACATGGCAATGACACTCGCAGAATAGGTAACGGTGATCGCCTGCTTCAGCATTGTGCCGACCACGGGTTCTTCCTGTCGAGTACTAGCATTCGGCGATCCTGGCACCAACGCGCGACCTGGAAGACTCCATCATCTGGCCAGCCATGGACGCAGATTGGCCACATCGCCATCAGTTATCACTGGCGGGGCTTCGCACAGGATTGCAAGTCAATCTGGAGTACTCACATCACTCCGAACCACGCGCTCATGTGTGCCAAGGTTGCTTTACGCTTTGGTGGCTCCCAAGGACGTCGCCGGACACGGTTTGACGTGGTCGCACATTTTGCCCGAAGCATTCTCAGCGCGTTTCAGGGTGCATTGCCCTCAAATCTCAAGAGCGCCTCATGTTCTGACGTTGAAACGCACTGGGCACACATCCGCAGCGCTATGCAAAACTCTACGGCCCTGGTCTTTGGTTTCAGTAGTAGTCCTGTCAATCACTGGATCTCTGCACGATCCCTCCAACTTCTAGAAGCTTGTCGGGCAATTTTGGCTGGCGCTGAGTATCATTCATTAGGCATGACGACTAACGCTGAACTCAACTAGCTCCTTCGGGCGGATCACAAGGCCTGCTGGGAGTATTCCAAAATTGTCATTAGCTGGCTTTTTATAGCTTATGCGTATGTATTGCGGTGTTTCTCACTTTCAGCTGATGTCTAATGATGACGATGATGATGATGGAATAGGGTAGTGTTCCGTATTCATCACCTGCTTAAATAAATAAATAAATTTGTATATTTACCGACAGACGTACAAAGCCCCATAAGTAGGAACGATCCTTTGTATAGTGAATAGATTTCATTGTTTATGCGGCGTAGTTCATAATAGTAAAGAAAAGTTTATTAATAGAATTTCGGATCATGATTTTTTTCTTTTTCCTCGGGTCCTAGACCTGAGCATCTAATATGTAAAATCTGCAAATGTTTGCATCATCATTTTCTAGTTTGTGGGGCTCAGGAGTAGATAATAGAAGGTAGGGGATACTAGGCTGAACAGACACAGGATTTGGTATTGAAGGTAACGACATATAGTGGGTAAGCTAGTTGTAAGCGAATATCTGCTCATATGTTTTCATACCAGCTTCTGTCAATGTTTCTAGAGTTTACTGGGTAAAAGATCTTCAACACATTTGATATAGTGAGGAACGTCTTAAGCGAATTTCACAATGTGACATAGCTGGCACTCAAGCGTATCTGTAGGGGTAGTTTTTTCCACAGATCAGTGTATCTCACTAAGAAGAAATTCGATCGAGTTTTGTGACTTGAAAGGTTTGTGCGTATCAAGTAGCCGCCATTACGTGTGGGGTAGACTGCAGTCTTCCGTAGTTCAAGTGCGGTGCTGTCTGCGTAAATTCGTTGGTTTATAATATTGTAGAAGAGAACGAGGTTGTTCTTTAAGTGTCTCAGCTGAAGAGGATCCAGTTGGAGTCTTCGACAGCGATCATAATAACAGGTTTGAGCAGCGTCCCATGACGAGCTTGGTAAATGATCGTTGGACATTTTCCAGAGCCGTTCTGTCTTTCCTTCTCAATTGGCTGTGAACGATAGTACAGTATCCCAGAGTCGGTCGTACTATTGTCTTGAGTGACTCAAGTCGTGCTTCAGGTAGGGAGCAAAGTCTGGTGATATATCCGCATAACGTCCTTGCTTTCACAACCTGATAAAGCACATGTTCGGAGAAATCGAAAGAGTTGGAGTACCTAATTCCTAAGTCCCGAACTGAATCAGACGTTGGGATCACGTTTCCGGCAAGTGTGATAGAGTCTTCTGGGATGCGGCATCTGTACCCAAGTACTTGGGATTTCACTGCGCTGACCTTCATTAATAAACGTTCACTAGCTATATTTAGTTCAGATAGGTCTTCACGGATGTTTCCCAGGCACATTTGTAGCTGGTCTGGATGAAATGAGTGGACCAGTTTGACGTCATCTGCCAACCGGGCTGCGAGATTCGCCCGGTCCATACGCAGGCTCGAACCCGCGCCCTCGGATTACGAAGCAGGCTTATGATCCTCACGGCTACGAGCCGGCTCCCCTGGCCATGATTCACAGTCACCTGGGACCAGTAATCGATGTGTGGGTCTTAGACAGGTAGACACCTTGTCAAACAGGTAGATCAAGTGCAGTCGCACCGGGGATATCAAACAATCAAGGTAGAATTTGAGCAAACAAAAAATTGGAGTAGTTTCTATCCCGTTTAGGAAGGTCTAGTTTTCGTGCAAGTCGGTGTAGCCCAACTGCGATGAAGAAGCATGATCTATCCAACATTAAGCTCAGCGAGAGGTGCAGCGTCTGCACTAGGATGCGTTGCCCCGACATTCTCTTCACATTCAGTTTGTGAGAGACTTCACCCTGCACGCTATAGATATTCCAGCTTCCCTGGTTGGGCAGTCTCAGGCCGAACCATAAGAGCTAATCGCCGGCCTACCAGTTCATAAAAATGTTACTTCCCCTGCAAGACTCAGAACGAGTAATAAAGTGGCCACTCTGAAGCTCTTATGCCCCAACTGCACAGCAACACTGAGTAGCTCCTTGTGTCTCAACGACCATGCAGCATTGCCGATACGCAGCTACACCATAGCATTCTACGTGATGTATTATCAATCACGGCTAGTATGGTACACCAACTAGTATATCGAGTTCATATACCGCCAATCCATGCGTGCCCTCGAAGTACCGAAGGCAGCAACAGCTTTTTACCACTATTGCATAGCGGAAAAGTTACTTTATACCTAGCACTTGTAGCTCCACGCATCGAATATTAGTCCTGAATCAGGATCAAAAATGAACTCACCAACGCTGCTGATCACTTCGTCCGCTGAAGGCTTCCCAGTATTCTGTGGAAGTGTGGACTGAAGTGATAACATTCGGGTGTGAGTTTTAATCATTCGCAGTCGTGCAACTTCAAAGTTCTGCTGCTATTGTAACAAAACAGCCTTCAGGTCTTCTGATGAGATTGACATCCTGATTTAGTTCACCTCCGTCACCAAAATCTGTTGTGGTTTCCGCTGACTGTACGGATAACCTGCTGCTACCGCGCAAGCTGACCGGCCGACTTTCCAGATTAGAAGACAATGATCTCAGGGAAAAACCGTATTGCGCACCCGGCAAGCAATACAAGCCAATCAAATAAGGGGATCGAATCAACAGTTAATAGAGTAATTGCGTAGCGCTCACTGGCGGGCTTCAAGGCGGACCATCCTGATTGGCAGCGTTCATGGTGAAGCATCATCATTGGCCCGCTCTTTTTGGTTGGTCAGTAAGCTTCGGCCTACATCATGGTAAACCGTACCGGGCTGCTGCAAAGAAGTGCTTTTCCGTTCACAGCGCTGTCACAATGTCGGCAGCATTCCTGTGATCAATTTCTTTCATGTTTTTCAATTTTCGTTCCATTCCCGCTTTATTTTTTCTTCATTCTGTTTGCACCTAGCCTCACTGTCTTACAGTTGTTATTTGTTGTTCTTATCGTGGTGTGAGTCATGGCAACTGCATCCGCCGCACTTCGGTGCTCGGATCATGGTTGTTCAGCGGAACTGATGCTGCACGTGGAGCTGTAAAACGGTATCACTGGTGGTTTCCGTCCGTCGCTCTACGTTTTAGTAATGAAGCCCGTTGGTGGACTTCCTTATTTGTCTCGTCTTACCGAAGATAAATGCCGTTTTCGTAGAGCTTCTTTTTATTCCACCTGCATTTTTATGATTACATTCTTGTGCATTATTGGATATCTTATCCATTTTGACCACAGCGCACTCCAAACATCGGCAGTCCTCAGCCGGTTTTCCCGAGTAACATGTATCTTTCATCTTCGCACCCCTCCGTGGATTGTAACGTGATTCTATGCTGTCATCCCGAATACTTGTATCCACTCCCTTAACCAATCCGAGAAATATTGACATCAGAACGACTACCGTCCAGCTCGCGCTTCACGCTTTTCGCATCTTCATATTGGTTTTTAGATATACTACTGGCAACTTATTTAAGTATGCAACTTACCATATCGTATTTTTCATTCGCCTCACATTATACACTGCTGTCGTCACTCGCCATTAATTTAGAGCAAAACATGGTGTACGAAAGGCATTTTTCTTTAAATTCAGGAAATCGAACGTATTCACTATGGCTGAAAGAGTAAAGCTGATGCGTCAAATGTTGTACGACAGTTTACTGAAGTTGAACACTCCTGGCTCCTGGGACCATATAATTCAGCAAATTGGCATGTTCTCCTACACCGGACTGACAAGTAAGCCGTATTCTTAGGTCTTCTTCTCACTTGGAACCATCGGTTTACCACCTGTTTCTGTTCTTGAGGCATCCTTCGTCTTACCCACATTTCAGACGCGTATCACTAGTTGATGGGTCACGTTAACTCTGGCTTAGTTACTGTCACGGCAGTCGCCTTGTCACAAGTGCTCCACCAGGTTTTGATCTTGAAGGAGAAAGACCGTAACTTTTAGCCTCACACCAGAGAAACGGTTCATATAATATCACCGAGCCCTGAAGAGACTATCTCTTGACCTGTCAGATACGCAGCAGCCCGCAGCCTCAGGGACCACAAATCTGCCTTGTAATCCGAGGGCTCCGATGCGAGCCTGCGTAGGAACCGGGCGAACCTCGCAGTTTCCACAGCTCATGTGTAACTGGTAGTGATTGCACGGCAAGGAAGCTTCGGTACTGCTAACCGGCTACTGCTGATGCCTTCTGCCAGCGGCAATATGACTTATCATGGTTCTGACGAACTTCCCTGCAGTAATCATTCAAAACATACGTTTGCATCCCTTCTGTTTTTTACATTCACTGTGAAATAATTTAGTTGGTGGTAACTGTGCTGTTCTATAAAACATGTAGTCTTGCTCTATCTTTCCTGTCAAAGCTGTGTGACACAGAGTTCATTCGAGCGCCTGTGACTACTTTCCGGTCGATGTGCGCAACGGAAACAGTGCATATTGTCATTGCTTTGCACTGAGAGCTTTTGTTGTTCAAAGCTCCCACCGAAAGTGCAGGAGTTGGACACTGGGCTTTGTTTCTCATTACAGCAGCTGCATTAGTGAGCGTTACTATCCACATGGCGAAATTGAGAGAGCGAGTTAACTTTTGATTAGTTGACGGTGATAGCGAGCTGCTCCGAGGAATAACATAACAGTGAATATCAAAACTTCTTGTGATACCCAGTCCAAAGGGAAAATTATTGGAAAACCTTCGTCATACAGTGGGGAGCAGTGCGTAATGGATGTGGTAGTTCGTGTCCAACTGGAACGAGATTCACGATGCCCGTGTGCTGGAACACTCAGACTGACGTAACTTATGAGTTGGAAGCGAAGCGTCTTCAGTCAGTTGCACTGGTCGATTGTTTCTTTACTAAGTAACAAGTACCAGTACCCTAAGCGATACGTATGAGTTCCGAATCAAAATCTAGCGGACAACAGGGTCAGAAACGTTGGACACATACCCAGGGTATATGCGCAACGAAGAAAGACGAGCGTGATACAACGCAGACACGCCGAAGAGCATCGCAGCATGGAATACAGTGAGCAAGACTGACCGTGTTCAAGTTTGTTTAGTGATCAAACGACTGAGCTGGTGCAGGCAAACTATTGAATGGACAAGTACCATGTTGTTGAAGTAACGTAACTCAGCTCTTTGTGAAATGCAACCTGCTACCTTGATAATGCCTTCTGCAACCATGTGTTCTCCATCGCTTCTGAGAGTATTCTAAGGTTTAGTGCTGGAATACTTGCTTAGTGAGACTGAGCGACCCTAACTTCGGGAGTAGAGTTGTCGCTTGGGGCATACTTTAGTCTGTGGGTGGCGTTGAGTTTGAACAAACAGCAAAGTCATTCAGGCCACCAGACAGCATTTTGGTCGTTTGCTCTTGTTACCCTATCTACCCATGGTGTCATGCTAGCAGTACACAAAACGTTCATATAATATGTCACACATTATATCAAACTAAGGACAACGCCTTTAGCGCGTTTACAGGAGACAATGGCCAACGGTTGAATTAATTAGGCCAACCCATCAGTCAAGCACACTGGTCATCGATGAACAATGTGGGCATTATCTCCATCTTGTGAGGCAAAAGACAGACGGATTTGTCCTCACTCTCAGCTGCAGCCACTCGCTACACAGGCGCTTTTGGTTCACATCAAATCGTGCTTGGGGAGTTTGGTCACATTGTGAACATGGCCATCGGGTGCAAACTTTTACGCATTGCAATTTGAAGCAAAATTTGCGAGGTAGAATATAGCGGCCTGCACCTACTCAGAAACAAGTGTACGGATCACGAGGTAAAACCTACAGATCCCACGTTCTCAGTTGCAGGCATCGGCGGTCTGTGAGTCGTCCGTTTATGGTCTGCTCTCCATGTTGCTGGATAAGAGCAATGCTAGGGGGATCGACACTCTCCACTTTCTTTATTGCTTCTGTCTTCTGATAGGATCGTCTATTCCTCCCCAGCAATACCGCTAACCATCACGGAATGCACGTTTTATGTAACGGTTTTACCTTAACCACTTGTTATACTTGCTTCCGGACTACTTGTAAATGGGGTGCTCACACTTGCTTCCTTCAGTTCTCGACTGGGAAAACTACATCGGGTGTCTGTTGGACATTTATTGACCCGTTTTAGTATCGTCCACACATGCCGGCCACACTCGTTCATCGCTTGATGACCGACTTGCAAGCATTTGGACTTACTCGAAGTCCGCTGTGCGTCCGACGACAAACCCAATATAGTACTCAATGCGATCTGATGACAGCTTTAACTAATTGGGAACACAACGTAAATTTTCTCGGTTTGCATTCGCTGTTAGGTTGGTATCCCCGGTTCCTTCGATCAAGACACGTTTAGTAGCACATTTCGCTACTGGTCAGTTTGCCACCAATTCATTTCCACGCCTCGGTTTTCTGTCTTTTCCTGATACCATGTCCGTCGGGTTGGGGTCATTCCATTTCTGTGCATCCGACAATATGCCAGGCGGGTCTTAGCCGGTTCTTCGATGTGCCCCATCGATCCACTCTATTGCTTGGTTTCGGCCAACCGAAGTTGGCCGTTCCGGCATGTTCGTTTACTCTACCCGCGTGAAGCTGTGATGAACCATGCCGTGCGATTCGATTAACTTTTGCCTCACTCTCTTCATCGATTTATGAACCTATCCCGCGGCCTGTGTTTTGGGTGTGTGCCTTTTCACTGAACATCACTCATCACAACCACGATAGCTTGTCAGGCGTGCTCTCGTCCTCATCGGACGTACTCCTGAGTGAACGAGCACACTGAAACGTGAGCTTTTGCACGCCGAACCATGCTGCCCTGGGAGCTACCACGAAGGGCTGCCGCACTGGATGTTTGTCGCTCAGTGTGAGCCATGGTTACTTCTAACCTATGGGGTAAGCCGCACCGATCGTCACCGCCGAATTCTGTCGTGACAGTTCAAAGTTGGAGTCTACTCGATTAGACGAATCGTTGCAATGAACGAATGCCGCAATCGGACCTGCCTTCCGGGGATCAGTTTGCAATGAACACTTTCCGAAGATTAGTGTCTACATACAAGTTGAACTGATAAACTTGCTACTGTGGTATATTGTCTTCGCTGTTGCGAATGCCAAAATGCATGAGTTCAATTTATCTGATCAGCCCTGATCTAGATGCACGAAGCGTGGTGGAATCAGATATCATAAGTCACTAAATAATAACACATGAGGATTAGGAAAGCATGTTATAGATCATTTATATGGGATGCGTTAGGGAAAACTATAAAAAACCGACAGGTAGAATAGTTAAACATCCGAGATGCAAAGGAGGCGAATGTGAACTCGCAACTGAATGTGCCGTATCCAACAGGAGTTCCGCTCAGTGGTGTGGCCCATCTCGGTAGGCGGAAAGCAAGAATTTGCTCGATCTTTCAGTGTATTTCTTCGTAAGTATTTATCGTGTCACCGGTTCGCTGCGTCATAAATTTACACAGTTAAGTAAAATTCCAGGAAACGAGACCCTCTGAGTCAACCTGTCGACGAGCATGCGAAGAACACGTTCTAACCAATTCGACAATTTTGTAGCGCGGCAGCAGAGCGCGCCTGGCGGGTTTCATTGTCATCCGTTCAGCTGCTCCACTAGATATGTGCAGACATAGGTGGTTAACTGCGGTCAGCTTTCGAATATCTTCAGCACGCGATGGTCATGTCTATACTTCTTATGCAAACACCGGTCACATTGCAGCCTTGTACACACTGCCCTTACTCGATCACCTGACAGTATTAGATGCTTGCAGTTTTAAAATCTCATCTCAGACTTAATACTTCGTGTGGTAGTTTCTCCTGTGATACAACCACAGTAAAACCGAAGTTCATCACCACTCTAAGTTGACCGTTTATTTCTTCATTGATTGAACGTTCACCATGTAAACCTTATGGATCCAAACCACCGTAGGTTAGCCACTTTGGTCCAATCCCTTGAGTATACAACTTTCGGGGGTTTTACTGTACTAAGTAAACCCATCAATACTCCATTACATCCGACAGCCATCAGTACATTTGTTTCAGAAACAGCGTGGATGGAGTCGTACCTAATGATTTTGTTCACATATATTATTATTATTATTATTATTATTATTATTCAACACTTGACCAATACACAGTTGGCAGTGCCACAACACATAGTTAACAGCCAAAAAGAGGGAAAACGGGTAATCAGTGAAAGGATTTGGAAAGTTTGGAAGGTTAATGTGTTGTGTGGGCAGAGATCTTCCCGGTTGCCCAGGCCGAAGAAGAGGGTTGATTTAAGGGAATCCACCCCGAGCCCTTGGTCTTAAGACCAACCAGCAAGGCAGCGGGGAGAGTAAGGAAGACAGTTGACATCCGGGTGGCTCCTTCACCTTCTTCTTGTTCAGTACCAGTCCACAGAGAAGCCGGTGACCAGCAAAGTTGTTCATCCGCTCTCCGTTATACAATCACCTCTGGTTACAGAAGCGAGTGGTCAGTGACCCCATGCCGGTCACATTGGCTTTGACACAGCGCCGAACGAGCTCTTGTGGTATTTGATGGAGAACCAGGTGACCGGCCCAGAACTCCCCACGCTCTGAGACGCTGCCGCTGATTGTCTGCGACTGCTTATTCATCTCGCCTGCATGGCAAACGAGACATATTCGCAGTTACCTCCACAAGGGAAGCATTCCTCAATCCGCAACCTGGGGACGCGACCGATAGCGTACAGCTCCACCACGGAATTTTGTTCACATATTTGCACTG